TTCACGTGGTAACCATATGATTGTTTACTAGGTCTGCAAGCCTGTTCTGTTTTGTAGATAAGTTCTTAGTGTCTTTTTTTTTTAGATTGCACATGAGTGATATTATATGCTATTTTTCTTTCTCTTTCTGGCTCACTTCACTTAGAATGATGATCTGTAGGTTCATTCATGTTGCTGCAAATGGCGTTATTTTATCCTTTTTTATGGCAGAGTAGTATTCCGTTGTATAAATACACCACAAATTCTTTTTCCAGTCATCTGTTGCTTTATTGTGTTGGCTATTGTATATAGTGGTGCTATGAACACTGGGGTGCAGGTATCTTTTTCGCATTGGAGTTCCCTCTTGATTTATACCCAGAAGTGGGATTGCTGGATCATAGGGTAAGTCTATTTTTAGTGCTTTGAGGAATTTCCATCATGGTTATACCAAACTACATTCCGGCCAGCAGTGTAAGAGGGTTCCCTTTTCTCCACACCCTATCCATTTATGTTCATGAACTTTTGAGTGATGGCCATTCTGACTTTGTGAGCTGATACCTCATTGTAGTTTTGATTTGCATTTCTCTCATTAGTGATATTGAGCATTTTTTCATGTACCTATTGGCCGTTTGTAGTCTTCATTGGAGAAATGCTTGTTTAGATCTGCCCATTTTTGGATTGGGTTGGTTGTTTTTTGTTATTAAGTTTTATGAGGTGTTTATGTGTTCTGGAAATTAAGCCTTCGTCAGTGGAATTATTTACAGATATTTTTTCCCATTCTGTAGGTTGTCATTTTGTTTTGCTGACGGTTTCCTTTGCTGTGCAAAAGCTTGTAAGTTCAGTTAGGTCCCATGTGTTTAGTTCTGCTTTTATTTCTGTTGCTTGGGTAGACTGCCCTAGGAGAACATTGCTGAGATGTATGTCAGGTAATGTTTTGCCTATGTTTTCTTCTAAGGTTTATAGTGTGTTGTCTACATGTTTAAGTCTTAGCCATTTTGAATTTATTTTTGTGTATAGTGTGAAGGAATATTCTAACTTCATTAATGTACATGCAGCTGTCCAGTGTTCCTTACACTATTTTCTGAAGAGACTGTCTTTACTCCGTTGTATTTTCTTGCCTCCTTTGTCAAAGATTGACCAAAAGTTTGTGGGTTTACTTCTGGGCTCTCTATTCTGTTCTGTTGATCGGTTTGTCTGTTTTTGTGTCAATACCAGGCTGTTTTGACTGTAGTTCTGTCATATCGTCTGAAGTCTGGGAGGGTTCTTCTTCCATCTTCATTCTTTTTCTTCCGTAATGCTTTGGTAATTCCGGGTCTTTTGTGATTCCATATAAATTTGAAGATAATTTGTTGCAATTCTGTGAAAAATGTCCTGGGTAACTTGATGGGGATCACATTAAATCTGTAGGTTGGTTTGGGCAGTGTGGCCATTTGAACAATATTAGTTCTTCCAATGCAAGAACATGGGATATCTTTCCATTTCTTTAAGGCCTCTTTAATTTCCTTAGTGTTTTGTAGGTCTCCGCATATGTCTTTCACTTCCTTGGTCAGATTTATTCCTAAGTATTTTATGTTTTTGGATGTAGTTTTTAAAGGGATTATTACTTTCATGTGAAGGAAAGCCACTCATTTCTGCATGTTGATGCTGTGTCCTGCTACCTTGCTGAGTTCTTTCGTTAGCTCTTACAGTTTTTGTGGGGAACCTTTAGGGTTTTCTGTGTATAGTACCATGTCATCCGCATATAATGACATTTTTACCTTTTCTCTTCCACCTTGGATCAATGACACTTTTACCTCTTCTCTTACACCTTGGATCCCTTTTCTTTCTTTGTGTTGTCTAATTGCTATACTAGGACTTTTGATACTGTATTGAATAGAGTTGGTGAGAGAGGGCATCCTTGTCTTGTTTGAGATTTGAGCAGAAAGGCTTTCAGCTTTTCACTGTAGAGTATTATGCTGGCCATAGGTTTGCTATAAATAGCTTTTACTATGTTGAAATATGTTCCCTCTGTACCCACTTTGGCAGGACCATGGGCTCAGTGCAGTCAGGGGGCTGGGAGGATGGATGGTAGCAGCAGTGGCAGCAGCGGCTGGAGGAGGGGGGCTGCCCCTTTTGAACCAGTCATTTGCTCCCATCTCCCCTGTACCCTGGCCTGGGGGTGGCCTCTGCTGCCTCAAGTTCGCTGTAGGCAGGTCCCCAGGTCAGCAAGCTCCCAGGAGGTGGGCATGGTGCAGTCAGGGAGGAGGGGGCAGCTGAGGGAGGGTGCCTGCCTTGGAGGAGCTGGCCTCTTTGCTCCAGTCTCCCTTGTGGCCTGGCTTGGGGGTGGCCTCTGCTGCCCCAGGTGGCAGGACCACGTGTCCCAGTCTGCCTGCTCCTGGGAGGTGGCGGAGTGCGGTGGAGGTGGGAGGCAGGGTGCAGGGGCCACCTGACCGCTACCAGCTGACCACATCTCACCAGCCTCCAGTAAGCAAACTAGGAGATGTGTGTCCCGCCACTGGGGGCAGCAAAGGCTGCCCGCAAGCCAGGTGTTGGGGGATGGGAGCCTGGGGCAAATGCACCTGCTCAGTAGGGCAGCCCGCCTCCCCCTGCCATTAGCTCTATATTCTTGCTTGATTTAAACATCTTGTCAATCTAGTGTATGTGTAATGATACATCATTTCATTATATTTTAAATTCACATATCCTTAATTACTAATGAGATTGGTAGCCTTGTTATATTTGTTGGCCATTTAAATTTCCTTTCTGTGATGCGCTGATTCAAGTCTCCTGCCCATTTTTCTGGTGGAATGTCTCTTGTCCTCATTGATCTGTAGGAGTTCTTTATGTACCTGGATATTAAGTCTTTCTGTCAGTGATACCTGTTGCAAATATTTTCTCTGTGGCTTTTTTCTATGGTTCTTTTTAATAAAAGCTTTTTTTTCCCCAAGTAGTCAAAATAATTGTTTTGTTTCCATGTCAAAGGAGAAGTCCTCCTTTATTATCTAGAAGTTTTTTTTTTCATCTTGAATTCTTAGATCCATCTGAAAGCAGCTTTTGTATATAGTTTGAGGTGGAGGTCCATCTAATTTTTGGAAATACGGATGCCTGGTTCTCCCAGCAGCAGTTGTGTTGAAAGATTGCCTTTCCCCATGCTCAGCAGTGTGGCCTTACCATGAGTGTATCAAGGGTCTACATGCTCGGTCAGTTTTTCTGGGCCCTGTTATATTTGATTGATCTTCGTCTCTACATCAGTACCACACTGTCCTAAATATTGTTGCTTTATTGTAAGTCGTGATATCTTTAGGAGAGTATTGGCTATTCTTGACCTTTGATACTTCCAAACACATTTTGGAATCAACTTGTCAAGTTCACCCCAAAAACTGTTTTAACCTGACAATTCTGTTAGGGATTGCATTGAATGTGTCATTCAATTTCAATTTCAATTGACATCTTTACATTGTGAGTCTCCTATTCAGTGACCACTTAGCATAACGCTTTATTCAGTTATCTTTCTATAAAGTTTCATAATTTTCTCTGTAAAGATTTTTCATCTCTAGATTGTTAGATTTACTGTCACAACTTTATATTTTTTAGCACAATAGTGCTATTGTTAATATTTAATAAATTTGATTTCTAATATGTGTGGTGTTTACTATAAATTTTATTATGGAAGTCTTCTATTTCTAGTATGCTAACTTTTTCTCAAGAGTAAATTTTATTACCTTTTTCTCGCTTATATTTTCGTTGTAAATTTTATGTGTTGAACTCTGGGTAACTAACTTGATCTTTTTTATACATTTTGGATTTTGTTTTTATTTAGGATGTTTGTATCTGTT